ATACCATATATAGTAAGAAACAATATGCTGGATAAAAGCGTAGTTATACCATTGGTAATGTTGGACAACGGAGTTCTTGTAGTAAAATTAGAAGCGTCTTCAAAACGTTCTTGATGACGACCATTATTACCTATAATTGTAATATATGTTAATATAAATATGTATTAATTATGGAATAATAAAGAAACACATATAAGAACATAATATTTATTAAAATATTTATAATAACTATAGATGGATAAAATAAAAGAAGTAAGATGATATATATGATATACCGATTGGCATGGTGGATATGTGATTGGATTTTCTTTTATCCAAATAATTTTTCCTTTCTTTTCGTTTGTCTTTGGCGTTGTGTGATAATGGAGTATCGATATAGATATTGGAAGTAGATTGAACACGTGTTTGTTGATATCCATATGAAGAAGTTGTGGTGACATTTTGATTGTTACCACCATGATATGCCAACTTGTTTGATGATGGTGTTTGAATGTTGGTAGTTATATTAGAAATGACTGTAAAAAAATAAAGAATATGTAAGTTACAGTACACATAACATTTATTTTAAGATAAGATAAATAAGAAAAATATAAAAAAATAAATGTAATCATATAATTACACCTACTATATAAGGGATTTATGAAATACCAATGTTAAAAAAATTGAAATAAATTTTGACCGTGCTAGGTATTAGGTGTGAAATTATAACAATATCTTAATGAAATATAAATTGTAATGTATAGAAGAGTATAGGTAAAAGACAATAGGATTTCAGAATTTGGGGAATGTGTATAAAATAAAATATGTTTAAAATGCAATAAAAACCGGTGTCATAGGAATAAAAAGACATACCAGACGGCGTTGTGGATAAATGATTGGATCTTTTCTTATCCAAATATAATTTTCTAAGTTTTCTGTTCTCTTTGGCAGCAACAGACAATGGATTCTTAATATTAAAAGTTGAAGTAGATTGGAAATTTGTATGTTGATATGCATATGATATATTTGGATTGACATTTCATTATCGATGCGAACATATGTAGAATTGGTTGAACGGGGTGAATGTTGTTGAGGAATACCTACAATGTATATATAATATTAAGAATGTGTTATTACATGATGTGATAGTTATGTGATATAATACATCATAAGATATAAAATAATATTTGCACAACATAAGTCAAATATAAAACATGATTGAAAATAAAAGTAAATTGGGTTATATATAAAAAATTACCAATTGACGTGGTGGACATAAGATTGGATCTTCTATTTTCCAAATATAATTTTCTATGTCTTCGTTTATCTTTATGCTCATTTGAATTCATATCGTCTGTGTAGCTTAAGAACAAAAAGCAATTTATGTAATAAAAAATTATATTGACCATAATATTCAACAAAAAGATAGAAATAGAAAGATAGTTATACAGAGTGATAATGAGATCGAGAAAGATAGAAAAACTTTACTAATAATAATCGACAAAGCACAAATTAGGCAAGGGCAAAGACGATAGAGGGATTGATGAGCACTCCGGTGGTAGCAACGCTGTTAACCGGTGACAATTTCAGTAATTTCACGACCCTGTTGGTGACAACGGCGATATTAGGATTCAAAGTCACATGTGTCTTAATTGAATGACGTATAAAAATAAACGACTTATAAAATTTTAGTGATGTAATCGGGCTGTCAATAATGAACTAAATGCAACTATAACATAACAATGATAAAAAAAATTAATATATTATAATAAATTGGTTGCAAGCAAGTACTCGTAATTATCACCCAGCTTTAATTGCGAAATAAACCAACCCAACATCATATACAAACTAAATAAATAAAATATTTATATTTTATTTCCGTGTATAAATTATTTATTGAAAGTATTTTACTCCAATTGATAATAGGCTTTTTGACCGATAGATTACAATTGCTTTATTTTATAAGGAATACATTAAATGATTAAATACTAAAACAGAGAGAAAATGAGAGTGTGAGAATAACACCTGTAAATAAAAGACACGGTAGGAGGAAGCCGTCTCCGATTCAATGAAATGGAAGAACTGGTCAGGTGTAGCAGAAGTGTACTAAAGTGCAGGATGATGTTGAGCACCGAGGTGGTGCCGACAAACTAATCGGAGCGGAGATGGGTTCAGCAACAACGTCGTTGACGAAAACAAAAGGTATTTTTTGTTTAATTAGGGTTTCATCTTTTTTCTTCGAGATTAGCTTCTCAAATTTTCTGATCATCGATTATTGTTAAGTTTAGGGCTTAATATTTTATGAAGTATTGCGTAAATAGAAAGTAAAATACAACATTATTTTGGGTTTATTTGTAGAGATTTAGTTTCTAAAAATCACGAATTGGTTTTGATTTTTTCAGTTAATTTTCATGAGATTGTGATGCATAGTTGTATGATTCGCTTTTTATTAATGATAAAATGATAAATGGAGGGTCCATAAAGTTAGCAAGATATGTGGGATGGTGCTAATTCGTCGGTATGGCTAAATTTATTTGGGTTAAAGGGCTTTGTTCTAGGGTTTGTGAGTAATAATGTCGATTTAGTTATGTGTATAATAATTATACTGATAAGTTATAGACAATGGTAACCAACTTTGTCGATTTAGGTATGTATTTATGCCATGTTGAATAAATTTCCACATACGATTACTGCCATGTGTATTTGGAGTACCTTGCTACAAGGGCATAAATGTCCACACAGATAAAGCAGCATCAACTGCACCCCTTCCTTGCTACAACTTTGGAGTACCTAGCTACAACTTTGGGTCCCGCAAACAGCTGGAGATTGCAGAATTTGATGAGTGATTGTTGATAATTCCAAAGGTTTTTATTAGTATTATTAAAATTTGAAAAATATATAATTAAATTTTGTATGAATGGTGATAATTTTATTTTTTGATAATGCTCAGGATCTTGTGTGAATGCTGTAAAGGATGCGACTGATTTGGTGGCTAAGTAGCATGCATATCACCACAGTGCACAAACTAAGAAAATTCATCAATTTTATAATGTACAATATGAAAAAAATTTGTAAAGAAGAAATTCTATTATGTACAATATGAAAATAGTCTGTAAATTTAATTAATATGGTGTAATGGAATTATTATTTTGTAAAATAAAGTTGTAATTTAGTTGGGTATTGTTTTGTAGTTTTCTTTTGTTATGTTGGAAAAAAAAGGGCCGCATAAAGCCTTGAACACACACTGTACGTTTGAATTCGTAATATTAAGAATTTTGCAGTTTATATATGCAATATTATATGAGTTATTTTGTAGATTATTAGGTCAAAATTATGTGACATAATTTTTATAATTTGATGGCAGAGAAAAAACCAAAACAAAAAGGTATTTATACACGGAAATTCAACATTCTTTCTCCCTCATTTGCATACCGTAAATTTAATAAAATACCGTTGTGAAGATTTGCCAAAGACAATAAGGACAGTTCTGTTAATAAAGCTAATAAAAGGGAAATTACGTAAAATTGTATAGGATGACACTGTGATTTATTAAAAATATTAAATTTATAGCTTACATATAATATGACATAATTAGGAAATTAGATGCTATAGTATACATATAAATTTAATAAAATGATAGATATTTAAATATGAGTTTTGATTCTAATGTGTAGGCGGCTGTTAAATGAAAGTAGGTTGCTATAATCGCAATTTTTTATAATAAAAAGGTAATTAGGTAAATTTAAAATTCCATTAATGTAGTTACATTTCCCTTTCACATACAATATCATATGCAGGTTTAAAATGGACATTTATGCCCTTGATTCCATTTTTCACAGATTTTATACAAATTTATTTAAAAAAAGGTCATAAATGGAAAGAATCATGAAGTCAATACCGTTGTAGATATTTTCATTGCCAAAATGAGAACACCTCAACATACAAAAGGATTCAAATAGTAGAGTTATATAATCAGGGACAAATGCAGCAAAAAGATAAAAAATATATATAAACTTTGCATTGATTCAATAATAAACTGCTTTGCAAAATAAGGTAATCATTAAACCAAAATGGATCAAACCATATATTGTTATGAACAAACACAAAGAAAACAATACTGCTGTTTAGTAGAAGCTACCACAAGGAAACATCCAAAACCCAATTCCGTTATTCAATTAAAAAAGTAAAAGATAACACAAATGAGTATTCATAGTTTACCAAACACAAAATTTAGAAATCCAAAATAATATGCAAGTAAAAGAAGGAAATATAAAAAAAAATATCTTAGAAGAAAGCAATGATACATATAAATTTAATAAAATGATAGATATTTAAATATGAGTTTTGATTCTGAAAGCATCAAAGTAATGTGTAGGCTGGTATTAAATGAAAGTAGGTTGCTATAAACGCAATTTTTTATAATAAAAGGGTAATTAGGTAAATTTCAGTTTCCATTAATGTAGTTACATTTCCCTTTCACATACAATATCATATGCAGGTCTAAAATGGACATTTATGCCCTTGATTCCATTTTTCACATATTTTATACAAATTTATTTAGAAAAAGGTCATAAATGGAAAGAATCATGAAGTCAATACCGTTGTAGATATTTTCATTGCCAAAATGAGAACACCTCAACATACAAAAGGATTCAAATAGTAGAGTTATATAATCAGGGACAAATGCAGCAAAAAGATAAAAAATATATATAAACTTTGCATTGATTCAATAATAAACTGCTTTGCAAAATAAGGTAATCATTAAACCAAAATGGATCAAACCATATATTGTTATGAACAAACACAAAGAAAACAATACTGCTGTTTAGTAGAAGCTAACAACATCCAAAACCCAATTCCGTTATTCAATTAAAAAAGTAAAAGATAACACAAATGAGTATTCATAGTTTACCAAGCAAAAAATTTAGAAATCCAAAATAATATGCAAGTAAAAGAAGGAAATATAAAAAAAATATCTTAGAAGAAAGCAATGATTAGCAAAGAACGATTGTTGTTTAGGATCATTTTTCCACCTTAGGAATCAACAATTTGGTTGTTATTCCAGCTTTGTCATTGTCAACACGGGATGCATTAGGTTTTGTTGCAGATTCATAAACATCATCATCAAGATCATAAATATCTACGAGTTTACGTTTGACACTTGTAGGTGGAGAATTGAGGTTGTTGGTGGCGGTTACTGATGATGGACTTGTACTATTACCAGATGGAATATTTGACACAGGAGTATTATCATCAGTGTGGGAATTAACATCCTAAAATTAAAAAGAGAAAATAAGATAAATTATTAATGAAAATGATATATATATATATATATATATATATATATATATATATATATATATATATATATATATATATAAAACATAAAAGTGTTGATTACCTTACAACCCACTGTGTCTTGAGATGCAAATTCTGAGCCAACTGCATTAACAGAATCATTATCCATATCCTATAATATTACGGGTAAAAAAAAATTGCTACATTAAGGATTCTATGAAATATTATGTAGTAAAGTAATCAAATTATGGTGTATTTTTACCTGTTCAATGATATTCTTTTTCTCAATGTTTTCCAAAGCAACAATAATGTCGAAATTATCTGTTATCTTGGAAATGTTGTAATAACGACCAAATTTTGAGGAATTCAAAGTCTTGACAACGATCTTAAAAGCCAATTTTTTATTGAGCATGGCGTTCAACTCATTTGGAAAGTCACTTGGGTTGTCGAACTAAAAAAATTAGTAGTAAACAATATGAATTAAATAAATGTTTTAAAAACAACATTAATTTAGCAATATGGTATTGATTATAAAATACATATACCCTTTCATATTTTGATATTAATTCAGCAGCAGATATTTTCAGAAGGTTTCTTACTTCACGATCAAACATTGTAAGACTGACCACTCCAACTAAACCTTGAACTCGAACTTTGATCATGTAACTTAAAAAGAACATATATAAACATAAATTTGTAACATTAAAAATAAATTTAAAATCATTGAATTAGAATATATTAAGTTTTTATTTGTTACATACCTTGGTTCAGCAATAACATCTTTGCCTTTGCAATCTTTTTTTGGACAAAACATCATCTTTTTCTCTTCAAAGCGGTCCAAGTCATTGACCGCCTCATTTGGAACATCCATTAAAATAACCTTTGACTTGCATTTTGTACACGCATTATAGTACCAAGTCCGCATATCTTCAAACATCTTTATTGTTCCAAGAATTACCGCACAATTTCCCTATGATAGTAGGTGTATATGGGGTTGATTAATATTATAGTATTGGATTAATTAAATTAACAGGGGATGAATTATGTACCTCATTCAATTCGTGAATAGTCGATATTTTGTAAAAGGAGTTCTTTTGAAGAAAATCATCATGTAGTGAATACATGATTGATGATCCCGATGCACGTGAGACCGAAGAACACGAAGAGGTTTTTCTTGCTTGTAAACTATTTTTTTAGAATTTTAATAAATATTATATATCATAAATAAGAGTTAATAAAATATTGAGTTGAAATGACAAATCATTTGGAAAATTCATGAAACCTTTTTTTGAAAGCAGTTATCTCGACAATGTTGTCCTCAATAAAAAGCTTTGTAGCTAAGTAGGTGTTGTTGACATATGGACGCTCTGAAATGGATATTTTAATTTTTGTATGAATGTTAACAATTTCATAAAACCAAGATTTTGATAATAGAAATATTACAAATTAGTATCATGGTAATACGTACCTCGGATTTTCTTGAATTTAGCAAGTTGAATAATCATTACAAAATGACCATGATGCTTTGAAACATATGCAACAATTTCATCTGCATAACGTCCCCATAGAGTAACAAAAACTTCATGTCCTCTGTAAAAAGAAATAAAATTAAAAAACAAAGCATCATTACAATATTAAATATATTTATAAAGAATGAAACTCACTCTAAATCCTCCATTTTTAGTGTGATTTTCTGCTCCTGTTTGTCTTTTGGAGGTTCCAATGGAAAACATTGGAAAACGTTTCCTATAATATCTATATTATATAAAATGAAAAGTGTAAGGATGTATCTGTTATTGTGTAAAAATTAAAGTTAGATAAGTTAATCCATTAGCAAAGGCATTTTAGGAATACACTAACCAAATGACAAATTGGCTTGGATCGAATTAGAATGAAGTTGTTTGAAATCAATGAAAGCAAAGGAATTCCGGGGGCCACAAAAGTCTTTGCATTTAATAACCTTAGTGCTATACTGGAAATAGAGTTTATGTGGACCATCAACAAACTTTATAACACCATTATTTAACCCTATTGTGGGTTTTTGAATGTAGTAATCACCGTATTCTTCCAAATTATTTCCTTGTAGGTATGAAAATGGTTTATCCACATTACATTCAATTTTGGCGCCCTATAAATAGATGAAAAAAATATAATAATAAGTTATAGTATACATAAAAATAATTATAACTTAACATGTATAAAGTAATAATATTAAAACAAAAAACTAAAAAAATCCATAATACCCTTTCGTCCATCAATATCATTCCAATCATACGAATCTGTTTCCACAGACGAATGATTCGAACCTTGATCGTGTAGTCATCTTGTGCAAGTGTCAAGTCACTGATCATGGTAACGTTGGTGTTTTCCATTACGCTGTAAACCAAATGTAGTAACGAAGATAAGTTGTTATATAATAGAGAACTACTATAAATAATTGATAAAAATAATTTTAAAAAGCATGATGACTATGATTATTCATAGTTTACCAAGGACAAGAAGGACAGTTCTGTTAACAAAGCTAATAAAAGGGTAATTACGTAAAATTGTATAGGATGACAGTGTGACTTTTTAAAATTAGTAAATTTATAGCTTACATATAAAATGACATAATTAGGAAATAAGATGCTATAGTATACATATAAATCTAATAAAATGGTAGATATGTAAATATCTGTTTTCTTTTGTTATGTTGGAAAAAAAAGGGCCACATAAAGCCTTGAACTAACACACACTGTACGTCTAAATTCGTAATATTAAGAATTTTGCAGTTTTATATGCAACATTATATGAGTTATTTTGACTTTTATTAGTTTCCATTAATGTAGTTACATTTCCCTTTCACATACAATATCATATGCAGGTCTAAAATGGACATTTATGCCCTTTCACATACAATATCATATAAACGAAGGTCCAAGGTGGCAGGACTTAGGGCCTGTTTTTCTCAATAGAATGGTCATAATAGAGATTATTGTTTTGTAGGCCCATATAACATTGACCTACATCTTTTGTGTAATGCCATATGTGATATAATTTTTATAATTTGATGGCAGAGAAAAAACCAAAACAAAAAGGTATTTATACACGGAAATTCAACATTCTTTCTCCCTCATTTGCATACCGTAAATTTAATAAAATACCGTTGTGAAGATTTGCCAAAGACAATAAGGACAGTTCTGTTAATAAAGCTAATAAAAGGGAAATTACGTAAAATTGTAAAGGATGATACTGTGACTTATTAAAAATATTAAATTTATAGCTTACATATAATATGACATAATAAAAGGGTAATTAGGTAAATTTTAGTTTCCATTAATGTAGTTACATTTCCCTTTCACATACAATATCATATGCAGGTCTAAAATGGACATTTATGCCCTTGATATTGTCTTTCACAGATTTTATACAAATTTATTTACAAAAAGGTCATAAATGGAAAGAATCATGAAGTCAATACCGTTGTACATATAAATCTAATAAAATGGTAGATATGTAAATATCTGTTTTGATTCTTAAAGCATGAAAATAATGTAAATATCAGTTTATTTTTTTCACGAGACTGTTTTTCTTCAAAAGATGTAGTAACCTCTACAGATGTAGTAAAGTGAACCATTCCTAGTTTAAGGGATACTGCAATTCTGCATATCATATATGCTTTTTAAAAAACCTCTTATCTGTTTGGATTCGATTATTGCCAGAAAAACATATATCCAACTGAAACTCTAAAATTAAAGCTTATAATATCTCTCAAGAAATTAAACTTTGATCATCTGTATTAATTTAGCATCTATATAAACTTGAACTAAAGCATTTGAAATTTTTTGAAAAATGGAAAAAGGAACAAAGAATATGTTAAAATCTTCAACAAATTACTCTATGAAAAGATTGATCAATTTCGAACAGATAATATAATTTGTTATCCGAACTTAACAGTACCCATTATTTATGTTGATAAAAAAAGTAGAGAAACAAAAAAATAATAACAATACTTGAGATAGGATCTTAAACAGATAAGTTTTTAACTTCGACAAAGGATCTAAATCCCATCCACTTTCAAAGATTCAAACAAAAAGATAAAAAAAAATGCACGAAAAAGATAAAAAAAATATATATATACACAAAATTTGCATTGATTCAACAATAAACTGCTTTGCAAACTAAGTTAATCATTAAACCATAATGATTTGCCAATGTTGTAAACATGTTTCTGTAGTCGGTTTTGATAATGAAAAACTAAATGTTTGAAGAAAAACCATATGAATTCGAATTCAGCAAGTAAAACTAAAATTAAAAAAAAAAATCTTTGAGACATTTAATCAACCAGCTTATATGCAGTGAAACATGAGTAAATATTTAGTACATAAATCTCTACAATTCGATATTATCATGGAAAGGAGAAGTTTAAAACATGAAATCTTCAAATATTCAAATAAAAAAGAATCAAATCATAATCCACAGAACACTAATTGTACCGATAATTAAATTTGCTAACCTGATGAAGATATTGTCGATAATGAACTGTGATGATGAACGTGGTGATGCTATAAATCTTCAATCTCTCAATAAAAGTCGACATATGAAGGAGATTGTAGCTGTATATATTTTTCAAAATCGAATTTGGAAAGGATATGAATATGAATAATAGAATGAATTGAAATTTGTTAAGTTTCTGCAATTAAAAATCAATTTGGATGGTGATTTCCGAGAATTATGTATGTAATTTAGGAAGAGATATTTGGATTTAATGTGTTTTTTGACAAAACCGTGAGGGATATTCATGTTTCCTTTTTATTTGTATATAAGAAGATGCAGTGATGGTATACGTATTTTTAGTACTATTAATTTATGATATTTTTAATTTAATAGAATAGCAAAAAATCCACAATTTGCCAAGTGGAAATAAACTTAATTGAAAAAATTATCAAAATGCCATGTGTCATATTGAATGAGAAGGTGACACATGACAGAAAACCTTTATTTATTAAGGGAGATGCGCCATTGATGTACTGTTTACAAGTCTTCGTAAAAGATAACTGGGCTCATGTTTTCCTATGTTTAATGGTTGCCAAACGTACTTGATGTATAGATATGAATTGTAAAACCTAGTTGGACTAATAATCGAACTGTTTTAACTTAGAATTTTAATCTTAAATGAACAAATATGCTCTTTTTATGATGGAATGATTTAGCAAGGGAGCTATTCACTAAAATGGTGGGGTCAAATAAACGGAGCAATATATGTCAAACGATGAACTTTACCCAAAATTAATGACCTTTATGTTAACAAAATTTTCAAACCTATATGTGCATATTATGTATAAGGCATGTGAACGAGAACATCTGTGGTCCATGTGGCCACGGGAAATGTTCGTGCACACCACCCCGACAAATCGTGGTCGGGCGTGGTCATTGTGCATTGTGTTGCCGATGACGATTGTAAACGCAAAATTTGATCGGTGCATCAGCTTCTCGACCGTTGAAACTTGAACTGCTATTTGATCATTTTTTTCAATCTCAATTCAATACCTATAAATAAAACCCTCTATTTTCATCAAATCTTACACATTCGTTCTCTACAACCAGAAAACACATGGAATTCTTAAAAACTTTTGACTCGGATGACGATGTAGAATTCGTCGAGACATTCTTCAACGTTGTGCAACACATTCACGCCAAAGAAAGTTTGAATGTTGCTCATACAAGGGCGGTCGTCAATCGTGATCGTCAAGCGACACACGGCTTATTGGTATGTGATTACTTTATCGATAATTGTCTTTATACTGACGACTCGTTCGAACGTCGTTTCCATCTAAATAATGTTATATTTTTACGTATTAGTAATGCTTTAGAATCTCGTTATGATTTTTTCAAACAAAAAACCGACATTAGATGAAGAATGAGTTTTAGAAATATACAAAAATGTACGGCTGCTCTTAGGTATTTGAGATACGGTATAACATTTGAAGTATCTAACGAATACTTGAAAGTATCCGAGAGGACCGCAGTTGAATGTGTTGATTGGTTTTTTGCATGTGTTGATGAGGGTTTTCACAAACAATACTTGCACAAACCTACTCAACATGATACTGAGAGATTATATTCGGCTCATGAAGAGAGACATGGATTTCCAGATATGCTTGGAAGTCTAGATTGTATGCATGTGGCTTGAGAAAAATGTCCAACTGCATGGCATGGTCAGTTCACTCGAGGAGATATAGGCGAACCAAGTATTATCCTAGAAGCTGTTGCATCTCAAGATTTGTGGATATAACATGCCTTCTTCGGAGTAGCGGGGTCTAACAACGATATTAATGTTCTTGGTCAGTCTCCTCTTTTCAACGATAGCAAAGCACCTAATATGACGTTCACGGTGAACGGCCACGCATACAAATACGGTTATTACCTTGGTGATGGGATATACCCAGATTATTCTATATTGATGAAGGCATACTCGGTTCCTCGAAATGAAAAGGCAAAGTTGTTTACAAAAAAAATAGGAATTTGCGAGAATGGATATCGAGAGAGCATTTGGAGTCCTCAAGCAGACATGGCATGTAGTGAAATATACTATACGGCTCTGGGATAAAGAAAGAATTAAACGAATGGTCCTAACATGTATTATACTACATAATATGATTATTGAAGATGAATGTCGAGCGATTTGCACGTATGATCCGAACGACATTGTCATTTCGATTGAGGAGTTCATGCCCAGAACGAATAGTTTTTAGAGCGAGTTGTTAAAATTCATAACAGTGAAACGCGTTTCAATCTTTGAGGTGGTGTCACGGAACATTTGTACAAACGTAACATGAACAAATATTAGTTTTTTTATATGTATGTTTATTTGTTTTTTTTTTAATTAATGTAATGTTTTTTTTATTATTTCTAGATTAATGAAGTAATGTAGTTTGAAGCTGTAATTTTATTTTATAATTAATGAAAAACTAGTTAAAAAATGAACGTTTTTTTAATAATTAAAAATGTAATTTATATTATTTAATTAAAAAGAAAATAATGATGTAGAATGGTGTGTTAGTGGTAGGTATCCCATGTTAGTGGTATGTGAATGTAGTACTAATATGGCAATTACCACATATGTGGTATGTGGTGGACATAACGGATGGTCTAAGAGGGTGTTTGGATAAATTAGCATATAATTTATTAGCTGATTGCTTATTAGCCTATCTATGATGAGAAAAAACCATTTTTGCAAAGTGTTTGAATTAAAAATAAACAATAAGCTATAAACAATGGAGGGATGCTTATTAAAATCAACTTATTTAGTTTATTCTCACCATATAATATGATTTTTAGTGTTTTCTATCCAAATACTTAAACTTAGCTTATTATAATTGAAATAAACAATAAACAATAAACATCCTCTTTTTTCTCTATCGAAACATCCTCTAAGAGAAACTTTTGATGAAGATGGTTATCTACCTAAACATCTATCTTTTTTTTTTCTCTTTTTTGTTTTGTATATATATATATATATATATATATATATATATATATATATATATATATATATATATATATATATATATATATATATATATATATATCTTTACTATCTTATAAAACAAATCCCACTATTTCTAAAAATAGATTGAATAAAATAATAATATTTTTTTAAGACGTTTAAATCATTAAGCTAATTGTATAACTAATCACTAATAAAATAATATTAAAATTTAAACAAACTCCTATAAATCTTCTCTTCTAAAGTTTTGACCAGATCTTTTTTCATCCAAATAAATACTCAATACCCTATAATTTGGTCATTTCATGAATTTTCTTTATTTTTAATATGATATATTTCTTAAAACAAACTAATGATTGAATTGAAAATAATCATTCTCTATCGAAAAGAAATTAATTGTCAAAACAAACTATTTATCGCTCGCCGCTTTGCACGGGTAAACGGCTAGTATATATATAAAGAAAAAGACTAACATACACTTAAAATGAAATTGTGAACGAAAAAAGAAGGCAGCTTGAACTTGATAAATTTTTTATGTTATGAGAAAATACCAAAAAGAAGGCTATTAGGATTAATCCACCACTATATATATTAAATACAAATTCATTTCATATTTTTGCCATAAATATTTTTGATATTAACATATTTAGTCCCTATAATTTTATAACTTATATACTGTGAGGTTTTTTTTACATAAAAGTCTTTGTGTTTAAGATTTCCTGATGTTAGCAAGATGTCCTATATAGAAAATAAATTATAAAAATTATCCCTATACTGAAAAGCTCATTGTGCATTTTTTTTACTGAAATGATCCATTTGTTAAAAATAATTACAAAAGTAGTCTATACCTAATATATATATATATATATATATATATATATATATATATATATATATATATATATATATATATATATATATATATATATATTACCCCTTCCGCACTCCCCCGCAATATATTGTGATGTTTCGTTTCTACACTTTAGGGAAATGAGTTTTCTATATTTGCATGTTTGCTCCTATACATTCGTAGTTATGTAATTTTGTTCCAACGAAGCGAGGACAAAGCAATTTATAGTTGGTAATAAAAAAGAATCGATTAAGAGGGTGTTTGGGAATACTTTTTAAATGATTTTTGTAAAAAAAGTTTAAAAAAATGTTTGGAAGATGAAAAAGTTTTTTTCAAAATAACTTTTTATAATGAAGAAAAGAGTGAATTTTTAAAAGTCAAAAATATGATTTTTTTGTAACTTTTGAACTTTTAAAGCTAAATCATACTCAAAAATCAAAAAATACTATCCAAACACTTTTTAAAAACAATTTTTGGCTTTTGCTTTTTCAAAAGAATTTTTACAAAAAAAAAAATTTGCCTTAAAAGGTAATCCCAAACACCCCTTAAGAACTATGAGATCTAGCAAAAGAATGTAAAATTAAATTATTAAAAAAAAAAAAAAAATCCTACTTAGAGCTTCTGGAAATGACTTATCCAATAGTAAACCTTTTCCAATAGATTTTTTTTAAATAACTAAACCATCATAATAAAAAGAACGTCAAACACACTAAATTTTCTTATCATCCAAGAGTTAAAAAATATATATATTTTGGGTATGGTAATACATAATCATATGTCATCCAAATTGATTTTATGTGCCCTAGTTAGACTTAAGATAAAAATTCAAATGTTCTAACTTGACCGATTTGATCGGATCCCTAGTTAGACTAAGCACAAGGCAAAAAGAGACTAAACATGCCAAATAGATACTAGTTGTCCATCGAGAGTCTCATACATACGGATCAAAGATTTGTACAGAAATATAGATGGTAATGACTACCTACTAGTTGAACATATTTTTGCGTGTATGATCAATGAATATAAAATAATCATTCAACACAAATCGTATCCTTTATTAAATTAAGCTTGAAACAAACATAAGGGTGATAAGTTTTTACATGACTTAAATATTAAAAATACTAATAGTGAACTTTAATTCTTTTTGTATACAACCATAACATCTGTATATAAATTAATAAGAATATATAAAGAACTAATAATAATATATAGAGAAAATGGAGAGGTTACATTATTGATGGAAAACAATTAAAATACAAAGAAAGATAAATAAGACTATAAATAGGAAAGATTGAATAGGAATAACCTAACGAATGGGCTAAACATAAGGCTTAATACAAAAAGAACCCAAATAACTTATTATGCTAGCAGTTTTAGTCATCAATCATCATAACTTAGTCACCCAATATTATAAATTTGATTAATTAAGATTTTTTTTTTAAATTTTCTATTTCTGACTTTTTTACCGGCTTAAACCATCTAAACTGCCTATGAATGACTCCGCCTAACTCGACCGACTAATATTAATCATAGACAGTAAGAGAACAGAGTTTTACAACACTGATTATTGGTAGATGATTAGAAAGTGAATATAGGCAAGGTTTAATGCATCAAATTATAAAATTTTGTGGCATGATGACTATTATTTATGGTGTCAGAAAGAACATTGAAGCTATTTTGTCACAATAAGTGGTGTTATATTTCAACAAAATGAAATTACAAAATTTAAAAACTTACTAAAAAACATCAAAGTTGAAAACGATGAAATATGCCCCAAAAACAAATAAGTCGATATGTCCGAGTGGTTAAGGAGACAGACTTGAAATCTGTTGGGCTTCGCCCGCGCAGGTTCGAACCCTGCTGTCGACGTTTGACTTTTTCATTAAATCTATTTTCTTTTTCTTTTCTTTTTATTTGTTTTTGCTGGACGTTTTTTTTATTAGGGTTTTGTCCAATCCGATCACTCTCTTCCAGTTTCAGTCAATCGCAAAACCTTAGGGTTTGCAATTGTGTTTTGCAAGGTTTTGCTCCACGATTTCAATTTCGTGTTTGGATTCTAAATCAATGGAAGAGACTAGCAGCACGAGTCAGAAATCGACACAAGAGTTGGCTATGGAAGGGCAAAAACATTTGGAAGATACGATAGAATCAGCATTTCAGATATTATCTTCGATGAACGATGAACTCTGTAACCCTAATTTATGGTCAACGTCTTCTCCACCTCCTAATGTCAACACTACCAATGGCCACCACGGACCATCCAATGGCGTAAGTAACGGTGACGCTACGTCATCGGACGCCGCCCATCACTTTGAGATGGGCGGTGGAGCTCTCGATGAAGCTCGTCTCCGGTATAAAGCATCTGTCGCAGCTCTCCGTTCTGTTCTCATTGCTATTCCCAATTCTAAAAAGGTAAAGTTTTCCGATTTTTCAATAAGATCGCAATTTTCTCTTCGTTTTTAAGTATCTGATCCATTGATGATCTGATTATCAAACTATCTACAAGCCTCGTAAAAACTAAAATCGAGGAAGCTTATGCTTTTGCTTTTGCTATGTTTAATGGTTGCAAAACGTGACATGAATAATGAATTATGATGTTTCATTTTGAATTTCTCATCTGCAAATGAAGGCCAAAGCTTATGACATTGATCCAATGTTAACTGATGAAATGGATGCTGAGAAGCTAGAAGATAGAGCCTCTGCTTTAAGAAAGGTATCAAGTTTTCTCCATAACTTCATATCTAATCCTGCAACTTTTTCTAATACATATCTCGTGTTCATTGTAGGAGCTTGAAGATAAAAACAAGCATTTAAAGATTCTCATAGATCAGCTTCGAGACCTCATTACAGACATTTCATCATGGCAAAGCCCAATTGTTGTATGAACTCTAAGTAGCTATTCCTACTCAATCTTTCTAGTAAAACTTCTCCTTCTTATCACCATGTAATAATACAAAAAGTTGTAATGAAAGATTGCAAAAGTTTACATGGAAAATCTACATTTTTTCTGATTTCAACTTTTTAGTTTACAACCAGGAAAAAAGATGCATACATATGATCTGATCTGATCTGATCTAAATCTTTCATTTGTTGTGAATAACTGATCTGGTAGTAAGAGATGATCTCATGTCAACAATGGCAGATTCATCAGCACCCAAATTGATAGCTTCTTTGCTAGCAGTTATGAATCTTGAAACTGCACCTCTTACATACGTATAAGCTTCTTTCACATTCATTTTCTTGCTCATTTCATCTGGAAAACTACTCAAGAAATGATCACCATTAAGAACAGCAGCTAATTGAACCACTTCACTTTGAAATTGAGAGAGTCCTTTTGATTCATCTGGTTCTGTATCTCTCAAAGGATTAGCTTCAGGGAGAAACTCTGAAACCAATTTAACAAAAAAAGAAAAATCATTAATTTAGTTGATAAACTCATGATATAATTTAAAATTTTAATCGGGTGTGTTGAAAATTACCTGGGCAATCTGTTCTTGGAGAGGTTAATTGTTGAATGACATGTTCAAAGGTTCCAGCCCATGCATCTCTATGAGTTAAAAAGTTTGATGATAAATTGAACATCTTTTTTATGGTTGCGGGTATGGAAGAATGCTCGTATTCGGAATTGGGTGTTGGTCCATTAGGGTTACTAATCACTGCAAAAGAATATAAAGTTATAAACATGCGTAAAACATCAGGTAAATTAGGTATACAACAGTCTGCTGGTTGATAACATATATTAGTTAGTGCTCATGTTAAGTTGGCACAAATAGCCCATCCCAATGGCATTATTTTAGGTAGAGGTAAATCAGATACATTTTGTGACTGTTAGAGGGTTGGAAAAGCCTAGTGCCAACAAAACTCGTACATTATGTGAGAACACAACATTTTGTAAGGTGAAATACCCAAAACAAAGTCATTATATGTATGCGTTTAATTTATCGAGTGTGTTAAAAATTAAAATAATAAATAACTTGTATTTGCATTTTCTATTGAGAATTAAAATATTAAGTATATGTTTATGTTGTCTTATATTATTTTGTTAGTGAATTACTTATTATTATTTTTTTTTGTTATAATTAGAAAAAAAGAACTGAAAAAAATAAAAATTAGAAAACCAAAACCGAAAAAATGATGGTTAGGTTTTCCAAAGTGAAAAAACTTTACTTTTTGGTTCGGTTTTAGTAAAAAATTGAACCGATCCACGATCATCCTAACACATGGAGTTCATTAAAACTCGCACATTATGTGAGTGACAGGTAAATCAGGTACACAACGTACTGCTCTGTTGTATTGGCGTAGGTCCACAAGGAGCCCATTAAAAACTTACCATTATGCAACTGCTAAAACTCAAATCGTATCTTCTGTACAAGTATATTATCCCAAAACCAACCGAGTTACACCCTAGTGGCAATCATTTGAATCTTTATAGAATAAGAGATTTGAATCTTACCGGTGCCTTTCTTGATCCAAGGAGAGACCATAATCGTAGGAACCCTAACACCCAACCTATCAAACTTAAAAAACGAAGGTGCGGGACCCGTATTTCCATCGGGGTTAGGAACATTAACATAAGGAGTCTTAACATGATCATAGAATCCACCATGTTCATCATAAGTAATCACCAAAAGACTCTCATTCCATTGTGGACTTGCCCTCAATGTCTCATAAACTTCCTTCACCAAATTTTGTCCATTTGCCACATCATGTGATGGATGATCATCATTTGCGGGGAAACCCTTTATGTCAAAGTATCTTGGCTCAATCACACTCAAATTTGGCAACTTACCATCTTTAGCATGTTGTTTAAAGGTAGAATATTGGTGGAACTTGAACACATACTTTAACTTCCTCAAATTTCTATAAAACAAAGTTGTGGGTATGTTTTGAAAATATACACCCCAATCTTTCCCATTCTCATGAAGTGAATCAAAGATGGTTTTTTGTGGGTACCCTTTTGCTAATTGTTTTGTGACATGACTTGTTGACCCATGAGAAGTGGCTGAATATACGAATAATCTATTGGGTTGGGTCGGACCCGGAATTGAAGAAAACCATCTATCAAAAACCGCAAATTCTTGAACTAATTTCGCAAAAATTGGGACATTTTCAGGTTTGAATCCTTTCATAACTGTTTCAGAAAGATTTGTTGATACCGATAATGCTTGTTCGACAAAACCAGTCATTGAGGGAATTGGATTTGACCCGAATACCTGTTTTTCCACATCTTCGAATGAGTGACCCGGATCCGGATCCACGTACTTTGCATCATCAGTGAAACAGATGGACGATTCTTGAGTTTCGTCTTCTTGGGGTTGTTTTCGGGTCAAGTTGGTTGAAACCGGGTTGCATTCTCTACCCGTGACGCCATTGATTGATGGGTTTATAGATTTCTTCATCCACCCAATCATGTGATCGAAAGATCTGTTCTCAAGAACCAACACCACAATCCTCTTGATGGGTTGTTGATTTTGACCCGATGCATCTGCAAACCGGGTCGGATCAAGAACACTAGAAACAGTGAAAAGAAGCAAGAAAATGGAAGAAAATGAAGGTCTTCTGGTTCTTTCCATGGAGGGTTTTGGTAAAGAAGGAAGCTTTTTCACTCTTTGAAGGTGAAAGCTAAAGAAATGGAAGCAAGCAAAAGTGGCAGGAAACTAGAACTATACTAGAAATTTTATATTATATAGTTAAATAACAAATTCTTTTATTTATTTATTTATTTTACTTTTTTAAAAGCAAGAAAAGACAGGAAATGGGGCCAAAGATGAATCACAAGTGCAAATTGAGAAGAATGGATGTATGTAGAAATCATAATATAATGTATGCATGTGATATATGAAGATATCGACAAATATACAAATGATTTGTAATTTTGTAAATTTGTAAATTTGTAAATTTATATATATTCTTTCCTCACTTTAATAATGAAATTGCAGACAACAAGGTTGTCGTATGCACACAAACAATGCACAAGAACCTACGTACGAGTTTGGACTTTTTGCACTCACAATAGAAGCATTGGCCTCAAAACCGGAACTGTATGTATGTTAAAAAAAAAAAAAAGTAATCTATAAATTTTGGTCCTTAGAGTATAATTTATACTCTTAATTTCGATCTAAAATGTTTTTTTTATCCTTTTATATTTATAGTTTTTGTTTGATGTTTTTGTTCGGATATGGAAAAAAACAACGTTATAAAAAGCCTCAAATAATAATGAAAAATTAAAAAACAAAAAACTTATTTGAACCGTTTTTTTAAACAAGTAACTTAAAGCAATTTACTCTTAAATGTAAGTTTAAAATAATTACGTTATAACATAAGAAAGATGTTAAACCATAAAGTATTTATTACGAAACGGAATTGGTTACTTTTAATGGTGATAATAAATAGCGATTGAGTAGATAAATGTAGGTTTGAAGTCGTATTATTTTTTTGACGTTTATAAACTTTAATCATTATATAGATAGAAAGCAAATAAGCAGTAAGTAATAAATTAGGTTGCCTGGAAAAAGGGGGAAATGCTGTCATGATCCAAGATTTTTTAAAGACAAATCCCGCGTATGCTAATCATTACGTGTCTCACATACACACCCCAATCTGAATTTGAATAAAAAAAAAAGACATTAGATCATGTTTTAAGGTACGTATTTACATGATCTTATATTAAAAAAATGTTTTTTTTAATAAACTGATTTATTCATATAAGGTATTATAGACTGTTCTTTTGTTATTAATAACATTTTGATACAAGGGCTTTTAAGTGCGGGTTAAAAGCTGATTTATTCATATAAGACTTTATATAATAACAAAATAATATAAGAGTTTTTTCAATAGATGTGAGGGTTTTTTGTGTGTATTATAATTATGGTGTTTAATAAGCAACACATTAAATAGGGTTTTTCCATTCCAATAATTGGCCTATACATTTTCGCTAAAAAAAACCTCAATATAACTATTATTTACAATTCTTCTATCATAATCACTGATAATTTACACAACATATGATCAAATCTGAGAAATTTGATTGCATATTTTGATAAATGCTAGGAATATATTATATATGTATGGTTTATGGAACTGAAAAAAATGTTGATGAATTTTTGGATTCAAATCTCTCGACAACTAGAATTTATATATATATATATATATATATATATATATATATAAATTTACCTAATAGAACCGCCATGATAACTTTGTTTTATATGTCACACGTGTACAGTAACTTATATGCATAAATAACTATATAGTTTCATTTTTTTAAAAAGAATATATTTTAAATATAAAATTGTGTTTAATATTAATGTAATTTTTACCGATAAAAGTAATATAGAAGAAGCAGGATCACATGGTGGTATGTAGAGGATACTCACCGACACTAACACCGACATCCTTTTGGACCCATATGTTTGCATCATTTTAATTCCCAGCGACTTAGGCTGTGAATTACAAAAATTATTGCCACTCTTTTATTTAAGAGAGTAAATTACACCGATGGTCCTCTTGGTTTGGTATTTTGCAATCGCTATTTTTTTAATAATTTATTATTTATTTATTCGTTTATTATGTATTTAAACAATAAAATAAAGTAAAACGACTATACGAGTCAACCCCTCATTCACCTCAACTTCACCCCACCCACTCCTAAACCCAATAATTTGATATATCTATGTACTATCCCTCTCTATTATCTATACCAATGGAAGAAAACCCTAAATCAGTGGACATCATACTACCGTCGGAAACGTTCGGACATCGTCAATCTGCACCATCAACTGTCTTCGAACGATATCAAAAAATTGTACCAAAGATCTGCACTCTAAAGTCGTAGATGTAGTCATCTTGTAACATCACGCATGACTAATTTATTATGTTGCATGGTGTAGAACATGCTACCTCTTAAATTTTCCCGTCAAATGTATACTTAGTAAAAATTCATCAAAATCATCATAAATCCGTCAAGAATCTGTTGGCATTCCATCACAAAGTCTAATATTTGTGAATTTAGTGTAAATTTGTCGTTTTATTAGTGATTTTGTGATGGAATCTACCTTTAGAAATAAGTTTTTACTAGTAATGCAACCCCTAAAAAATTTATGCAACCCCTGAATTTTCCTTCTGTATCCGCCACTGACACGACTTATGATAAAATTAGTCGTAAGCCATTGTGTATTTATTCTTTAAAAAATAATTGGCTGTATAATAATAACTATTGTATATGTTGGTAATACCGTAATATAATGGTATGAAAAGTTCTATCATTTTATGAGAACTTGTTGATTTGGTATAGATAAACTTAGGGATGAGTATCGGAACTGGGTATCCATTTTCGGACCTGGAACCGCCTCGGAACTGCTAGTTTCAGAACCGGAACTGCCTTGAGCGGTTCCAGTTCTGGTTTCTAAAGTTATGGAACCGTTGGTTCTGGTTCTCATTTTTTCGGAACTACTATCCGCTAAGTACCCGTCGGAACCGGTATATATATATATATATATATATATATATATATATATATATATATATATATATATATATAGAGAGAGAGAGAGAGAGAGAGAGAAAGAGAGAAAGAGAGAGAAGATCGGGTGAGGAATCTTATTAAAGTTATGACATTTTTGAAAAACCTGGAAAAAAAATCTAAAAAAACAAATAATTAAATCAAACATACTACTATACCGAAGAGAAAAAAAATTAGAAAAAAATTGTTGGATTATTAAAATTGAAGCATGAATCATTTTTATGATCCACGATTCAGTTTTAATGATGCAATTTTTTTTCTAATTTTTTCTCCCGGATACAGTATTATGTTTGATTTTATGATTTGTATTTTTTTAGATTTTTTTCAATGGTGTCCTCACCGAAAAGAGAGTCTTCACCGGAACCATACCATATATATATATATATATATATATATATATATATATATATATATATATATATATATATATATATATATATATATATATAGTATTAATATTAATATAGATTTTATTTCGACCGATTTAAAATATACTGGTTCGATTTTGTCCATATTTGATTTGAATTGATTCGATCTCGACTGAACTAAATTACGATTTTATTGAAAAAAATTTCTAAAGTTGATGTAACCGGGTTACAGGCTCATAGAACAGGAACTGTCGGTTCCGGGAGTGGTTCCAAAAATTTTAAAACTGTTTAGACCGGTTCCGGTTCCGGTTTTAACTTTCTAGAAACCGCCGATTCTGGTACTCGCTAAATGAGGCGGGTACCCGCCTATGCTCATCCCTAGATAAACTTTTTGCCGATAACCGATGTTTGAGAGTATGAAAGCATGACTTAATTGAGTCAAAATGACTAAAATTTTAATCTTGAAATGTAGCCATGATAATATAGAATGTATGAGCAAAAGACCCGACTAAAATGGAGTATGTATGAAAGATATGAACATTTAAAGTTAGGGAGGGGTTGAACTAGACTTAAGTTGTGCATTTTAAAGGGAAACATAGAGCGTGTAATGCATTACACAAACAATGTTGTACCGACCTATACTTTCTATCATCTAATTTAATGAGATTATCATATTTATTACTAAAAATTTGTGGAATACTATTAACTCGTAAAAATAAAAACATTTTATATCTCATTCATAGTCATGAGTTTACAATAAAAATCTTCATACGGATTAGAACAACGAGGAAATAAAACCTATTCCAAGTCCTTGAGCTCATGTCTTCACTTCGGTACTACGATTGATGCTACTAGAACCTGCAAAATATGAAACATCTCTACAACATTAGACAACAATGTCTGGTGATTTATATTCTTTCTATTTTCATGTCCATCTGCTCTTTGTATCTTTCATACTCTAATCTTTCCTTTTCACTTCTATCTCATACTCTACATCTTAAACTCTTCTTCTCATGGCATTGACTGCCAATCTTTCTCGTCTCATCAAACCTATTTTTATTCTTCCATCTCTTCTCATGCCTCAACATTCTATTCTCTCATTCGCGCACTCTATCTTCTACTATATTCCCCAATAGCACACAGTATTATTCTTACCAATCTTCTATCTATTATATCTTTCTTAGCCTCTTCTTAGTCTCATCTCATACTCGGTAAATTTTAAACATAAATCTTCAGGGGATGCAGTGCAACAAATCCGGGCCCTTCCTTTTGAAACCAGAAGTACATGAAAACATTTAAACATAAATCGTAAGCACAAAACTTAGTAAGTTCCCCAAAATGTCGCATACCATACATACATCGGGCCCTGCCTAGTATAGATTTGTCAATAACATGTGGTAGGCGCCTCCCAACACATTCATCATAAAGAATATGTGAACACATAATGTTTTGTTTTATTGATTGACTGACTTCTTGATTGTTACAAAGTAAACAAAAACAATCCTTATATACTGGATTGGACAAGCTACTAGAAAACAAGGATAAAGACAAACATAATAATGAAGATTAAACAACTCGTGATTATCTTAAGAAGGATCCATATTTTAATAATTACGTTACTCCCCCTTAAGTTGTAGCATGATGATTTCAAATGCCCAACTTGTCTGACAAAAGCTTGAGATAC